GCCGGGAGCAAACCCACGGGTCTCCCTGAGCTGGGGCGATGGGAGGCTGCGGGCGGGGGCTCAGCACCATCTGGGGCACCTCCGGATGGGTGCCCGGCTCACGTCCTGTGTCCCCCCCCCCACTGGGGGACATCGGGGCTCAGGCCAGGATCTTCTGAGGGATCTCCACCGAGGCTTTGATGAAGATGGCGTTGTCCCGCACGTAGTTCCGCTTCTTGATGTCCTCGTGGGAGATGAACTTGGGGTAGCCGAAACCCAGGGTGCTCTCGTCCAGGGAGCTGCGCGAGGCTCCCGGCTTCTGGAAGTTTTTCCAGTTGGGATCGGGGTGGAAGGTCTCGGTGATGTGCTGGGGTTTGGAGAGCGAAGGGTCGCTCTGGTCCAGCAAGGAGAAGGTGACGCGGTAGGAGAAGGGCCACTCCAGCAGGTTGTCGTACTCGCCCGGCAGCACGCGGATGTAGACGGAGAGGTGGCTGCTCTCCCCGCTCCCGTTGCCGTTGAGGAAAGCCGAGACCTGGAGCTTGTAGCCGTACTTGTGGGTGTAGAAAGGGGGGCTGAAGAACTCGTAGTTGCTGCGGGCTTTGGCCTCCTGCAGCTTGCGGGCGTAGTCGGCGATCTTCCAGATGAGGGTCCCGTCGCTGCTCACCGACAGCTCCTCCACGTCCCGCCGCAGCTCCAAGATCTCCTGCCGCTGCCGGCTCACCAGGGCGCACACCATACCCAGGTGCACCTTGGTGCTCTCCTCCAGGTGCCGGCCCATGGCCAACTTGGGGCACTGCAGGGACAACAGGACCATCAGCCGGGGTGATGTCGGGGGCATGGGACAGTGGGGGGACATGAGGTAGGACAGGACTAGAGAAGGATGCTGTGGGGATGTCATGGAGGTGTCGTTGGAGCATGGGGGTGCTGGAGGAGGACGGCACAGGGATGCCATGGGGACACAGGGACACCTGGTTGAGATGGCGTGAGGACACTTGGGTGGCAAAGCGACACAGGGGTGAGGCAGGACAAGGACGGGGACACCGTGGTGCCACATGGATGGGACGGAGCAGAACAGGGACACCACAAGGGATGGGTCAGATGTCAGGGCAGAGGTGTGGGGATGCTGCGGGGCACAGGCACGCCATGGTTGGGGACGGCACAGGGATGCCATGGTGGGATGGGGACAGGGACACCAGCACAGGGACAGGGACACACTCACCCGGTGCTTGCAGCCGGCTTCCTTGAAGGGGCACAGCAGCATGGCAGTGTTGCAGCTCTCCTTGAGGTGGGTGGGCACGTCCTCCCGGGCGATGCTGGGCGTCCCACACTGGTTGGGGCAGGGCACGGGGTACCGGGGACACTGGTACTGGTGGTTCTGGGGACAGAGAGTGTCTGTCAGCCTGGGCCAGGAACTGGTGGGACGAGGGGTACCCGTGGGCCCCATCTCACCTGGATGGTGTCGAAGACAAACTCCTTGGCGCAGTAGGTGCAGGGCTGGGTACGCTTGGGGCACTCGGCCAGAGTGTGCTGGGACAGCAGGCGCCGCATCATGCGGGCCCCACACTTGTTCTCACAGTACACGCTCTCCTGGGGACACGTGCCTTGGTGGCCCTGGGGACCACAGCAGCAGCGTCACCCTCCAGCTGTCCACACAGGCCACCCCTGCCAGGGATGGGGCCATACGGGGCCCCCCATGGCCGGGCTGTGGCCCCTATAGTGTCCACCACCCAGGTTCCACCACCAAGTTGTGCTCTCCCCCGTAGTGTCATGTACTGTCCCCAGGCTGTACCCCCCCACCGTGTCCCCCATCCAGGCTCTGTCCCCACGGCCATGCTGCATCCCCATGCCGCCCTGCAGCCCATCTAAGGTGCCACACTGCACCCCACGTCGCACCCAACCTGGCTACACCCCCCCATGATGCCCGCAGCCAGGCTGTGTCCCCCACGACACCCCACAGTGTCCCCCACCACGGCAGCGTCCCCCGTTGCCCCCC